CGTGTGTATGTGCGCTAGTATGTGTGCACACCCGATCGTGTGTATGTGCGCTAGTATGTGTGCACACCCAATCGTGTGTATGTGCGCTAGTATGTGTGCACACCCAATCGTGTGTATGTGCGCTAGTATGTGTGCACACCCGATCGTGTGTATGTGCGCTAGTATGCGTGCACACCCGATCGTGTGTATGTGCGCTAGTATGCGTGCACACCCGATCGTGTGTATGTGCGCTAGTATGTGTGCACACCCGATCGTGTGTATGTGCGCTAGTATGTGTGCACACCCGATCGTGTGTATGTGCGCTAGTATGTGTGCACACCCGATCGTGTGTATGTGCGCTAGTATGCGTGCACACCCGATCGTGTGTATGTGCGCTAGTATGTGTGCACACCCGATCGTGTGTATGTGCGCTAGTATGTGTGCACACCCGATCGTGTGTATGTGCGCTAGTATGTGTGCACACCCAATCGTGTGTATGTGCGCTAGTATGTGTGCACACCCGATCGTGTGTATGTGCGCTAGTATGTGTGCACACCCGATCGTGTGTATGTGCGCTAGTATGTGTGCACACCCGATCGTGTGTATGTGCGCTAGTATGTGTGCACACCCGATCGTGTGTATGTGCGCTAGTATGTGTGCACACCCGATCGTGTGTATGTGCGCTAGTATGTGTGCACACCCAATCGTGTGTATGTGCGCTAGTATGTGTGCACACCCAATCGTGTGTATGTGCGCGAGTATGTGTGCACACCCGATCGTGTGTATGTGCGCTAGTATGTGTGCACACCCAATCGTGTGTATGTGCGCTAGTGTGTGTGCTACCCAATCGTGTGTATGTGCGCTAGTATGTGTGCACACCCAATGGTGTGTATGTGCGCTACTGTGTGTGCACACCCGATCGTGTGTATGTGCGCTAGTATGTGTGCATACCCAATCGTGTGTATGTGCGCTAGTGTGTGTGCACACCCAATCGTGTGTATGTGCGCTAGTATGTGTGCACACCCAATCGTGTGTATGTGCGCTAGTATGTGTGCACACCCAATCGTGTGTATGTGCGCTAGTGTGTGTGCACACCCAATCGTGTGTATGTGCGCTAGTATGTGTGCACACCCAATCGTGTGTATGTGCGCTAGTGTGTGTGCACACCCGATCGTGTGTATGTGCGCTAGTATGTGTGCACACCCAATCGTGTGTATGTGCGCTAGTGTGTGTGCACACCCAATCGTGTGTATGTGCGCTAGTATGTGTGCACACCCAATCGTGTGTATGTGCGCTAGTATGTGTGCACACCCGATCGTGTGTATGTGCGCTAGTATGTGTGCACACCCGATCGTGTGTATGTGCGCTAGTATGTGTGCACACCCAATCTTGTGTATGTGCGCTAGTATGTGTGCACACCCAATCGTGTGTATGTGCGCTAGTATGTGTGCACACCCAATCGTGTGTATGTGCGCTAGTATGTGTGCACACCCAATCGTGTGTATGTGCGCTAGTATGTGTGCACACCCAATCGTGTGTATGTGCGCTAGTATGTGTGCACACCCAATCGTGTGTATGTGCGCGAGTATGTGTGCACACCCGATCGTGTGTATGTGCGCTAGTATGTGTGCACACCCAATCGTGTGTATGTGCGCTAGTGTGTGTGCACACCCAATCGTGTGTATGTGCGCTAGTATGTGTGCACACCCAATCGTGTGTATGTGCGCTAGTATGTGTGCACACCCGATCGTGTGTATGTGCGCTAGTATGTGTGCACACCCAATCGTGTGTATGTGCGCTAGTATGTGTGCACACCCAATCTTGTGTATGTGCGCTAGTATGTGTGCACACCCAATCGTGTGTATGTGCGCTAGTATGTGTGCACACCCAATCGTGTGTATGTGCGCTAGTGTGTGTGCACACCCAATCGTGTGTATGTGCGCTAGTGTGTGTGCACACCCAATCGTGTGTATGTGCGCTAGTGTGTGTGCACACCCAATCGTGTGTATGTGCGCTAGTATGTGTGCACACCCAATCGTGTGTATGTGCGCTAGTATGTGTGCACACCCAATCGTGTGTATGTGCGCTAGTGTGTGTGCACACCCAATCGTGTGTATGTGCGCTAGTATGTGTGCACACCCAATCTTGTGTATGTGCGCTAGTATGTGTGCACACCCAATCGTGTGTATGTGCGCTAGTATGTGTGCACACCCAATCGTGTGTATGTGCGCTAGTATGTGTGCACACCCAATCGTGTGTATGTGCGCTAGTGTGTCTGCACACCCAATCGTGTGTATGTGCGCTAGTATGTGTGCACACCCAATCGTGTGTATGTGCGCTAGTATGTGTGCACACCCAAGCGTGTGTATGTGCGCTAGTATGTGTGCACACCCGATCGTGTGTATGTGCGCTAGTATGTGTGCACACCCAATCTTGTGTATGTGCGCTAGTATGTGTGCACACCCAATCGTGTGTATGTGCGCTAGTATGTGTGCACACCCGATCGTGTGTATGTGCGCTAGTATGTGTGCACACCCAATCGTGTGTATGTGCGCTAGTGTGTGTGCACACCCAATCGTGTGTATGTGCGCTAGTGTGTGTGCACACCCAATCGTGTGTATGTGCACTAGTATGTGTGCACACCCGGTCGTGTGTATGTGCGCTAGTGTGTCTGCACACCCAATCGTGTGTATGTGCGCTAGTATGTGTGCACACCCAATCGTGTGTATGTGCGCTAGTATGTGTGCACACCCAAGCGTGTGTATGTGCGCTAGTATGTGTGCACACCCGATCGTGTGTATGTGCGCTAGTATGTGTGCACACCCAATCTTGTGTATGTGCGCTAGTATGTGTGCACACCCAATCGTGTGTATGTGCGCTAGTATGTGTGCACACCCGATCGTGTGTATGTGCGCTAGTATGTGTGCACACCCAATCGTGTGTATGTGCGCTAGTGTGTGTGCACACCCAATCGTGTGTATGTGCGCTAGTGTGTGTGCACACCCAATCGTGTGTATGTGCACTAGTATGTGTGCACACCCGGTCGTGTGTATGTGCGCTAGTGTGTGTGCACACCCAATCGTGTGTATGTGCGCTAGTATGTGTGCACACCCAATCGTGTGTATGTGCGCTAGTATGTGTGCACACCCGATCGTGTGTATGTGCGCTAGTATGTGTGCACACCCAATCGTGTGTATGCGCGCTAGTATGTGTGCACACCCGATCGTGTGTATGCGCGCTAGTATGTGTGCACATCCGATCGTGTGTATGTGCGCTAGTATGTGTGCACACCCGATCGTGTGTATGTGCGCTAGTATTTGTGCACACCCAATCGTGTGTATGTGCGCTAGTATGTGTGCACACCCAATCGTGTGTATGTGCGCTAGTATGTGTGCACACCCAATCGTGTGTATGTGCGCTAGTGTGTGTGCACACCCAATCGTGTGTATGTGCGCTAGTGTGTGTGCACACCCAATCGTGTGTATGTGCGCTAGTATGTGTGCACACCCAATCGTGTGTATGTGCGCTAGTATGTGTGCACACCCAATCGTGTGTATGTGCGCTAGTATGTGTGCACACCCAATCGTGTGTATGTGCGCTAGTGTGTGTGCACACCCAATCGTGTGTATGTGCGCTAGTGTGTGTGCACACCCAATCGTGTGTATGTGCGCTAGTATGTGTGCACACCCAATCGTGTGTATGTGCGCTAGTATGTGTGCACACCCAATCGTGTGTATGTGCGCTAGTATGTGTGCACACCCAATCGTGTGTATGTGCGCTAGTGTGTGTGCACACCCAATCGTGTGTATGTGCGCTAGTGTGTGTGCACACCCAATCGTGTGTATGTGCGCTAGTACGTGTGCACACCCAATCGTGTGTATGTGCGCTTAGTATGTGTGCACACCCAATCGTGTGTATGTGCGCAAGTGTGTGTGCACACCCAATCGTGTGTATGTGCGCTAGTATGTGTGCACACCCAATCGTGTGTATGTGCGCTAGTGTGTGTGCACACCCAATCGTGTGTATGTGCGCTAGTATGTGTGCACACCCGGTCGTGTGTATGTGCGCTAGTATGTGTGCACACCCAATCGTGTGTATGTGCGCTTGTGTGTGTGCACACCCGATCGTGTGTACGTGCGCTAGTATGTGTGCACGCACAAGCGTATGCATGCCTGTGTGCCTCGTGCGTATTCATGTGTCGGGGGATCTCTGTCACTCTCTCACGCACCATTGTGAAGCATAGCGAGTCGGCCTCAGAGTCAGTGAGATTCCTCAAAGGGCTCCGAGCCGCTTCGCCTACCAGGAGGAAGAAAATTGCAGGGGAAGGAGTTGCAAGTTGGTGAGTCGGTGAGTGAGTGAGCTAGTGAGTGAGTGAGTGAGTGAGTGGATGAGTGGGTGAGCGAGTGGGTGGATGAGTGGGTGAGTGAGTGAGTGATTGAGGGAGTGAGTGGATGAGTGTGGGTGAGTGAGTGGGTGGGTTTGTGGGTGAGTGAGTGAGTGAGTGAGTGAACGAGTGAGTGAGTGAGTGAGTGAGTGCGTGAGTGTGTGATCTTGTGCGCGAGCAAGCGAGGAAGTAAGTTTTTGAGTGAGTGAGGGATTTTGTGATATCTCAGAAGCTTCCAATAACGAGCATAGAAAGGATAGGGGACCTAATGAATGAAAATCCCAGTCCCGGGCCACACCACTCTAGCTCTTCTGAGTGAGACGGAGCCACAATAGCTCCCCCCCTCTCAGCAAACGATTTTCGAGGCGTCTCAAAAAATCGTGAGATAAAACCATGATAACAGCTCCACCCCTCTCAGGAAACTTCTGAAAGGCTTCTCAGAACTTCTCTGAAAGGCTTCTCAAAACTTCTCTGAAAGGCTTCTCAAAACTTCTCTGAAAGGCTTCTCAAAACTTCTCTGAAAGGCTTCTCAAAACTTCTCTGAAAGGCTTCTCAAAACTTCTCTGAAAGGCTTCTCAGGACCCTCACCTTCTCAGAAATCCCACCATCTCAGGACAAGACTCCCAGCCACCCACCTTCATCTTGCCTCGCCTGCCTCTACCTCTGCTGGCGTCACCCTCACCGCCTCATCCCCTCCCTCCTCCCTCTCCTCCTCCACCCTTCTCTCCCCTTCCGCTTCCACCTCCCCCTCCTCCTCCACCCCTCCCTCCTCCCTCTCCTCCTCCAACCTTCGCTCCTCCTCCCCTTCCACCTCTCCCTCCCTCCCCAGATCCCCATGCTGCTCCACTTAAACGCCTCCCAGCCTCATCCCCGGCTGCCCTGCGGTCCTCCCCAGTCATGCAGAGTAACAGGGCGATGGTCTGGGGCAGAGAGAGGTGGAGAGAAGTGGAGAGAGGTGGAGAGAAGTTTAGAGAGGCAGAAAGAGGTAGAGAGAGGCAGAAAGAGGTGGAGAGAGGCAGAAAGAGGAGCCTCTTTGTGTAGGAGCTGCAGCTACCACTAGTCTAGCACCAGCCTTCGTCGCTGACTCTGGAGCTTCCAGCTGCTTCTTTCGCGACTGTAGTGACCTCACACCACTACGCACTCCAGTCACCGTCGCCTTGGCTGACCCTTCCTTGGGACCTGTAATTGCCCACAGCACCACCACTCTCCCGTGTCCGATGGCTCCCTCTGGGTTTCTCACAGATTACTACACCCCCACGTTCTCCAGGAACCTAGTGGGTGTCAGTCACCTCCACGACCTAGGCGTAGTCACTAATTTTCCACTGGACGAGCCTGTTGCCTCCTGCATAGTCGGTGCCACTAGGGCGCCTCTGGCCACTTTCCACAGAGAGCCGGGCTCTCGTCTGTACTCACTACACACTAGGTCCCGCCACACTGGGTCAGGTCAGGTCGAGTCAGGTCAGGTAGCTGTTGTGTCGTGCGAGTGTCGGTCACTCACCCACCCGTCGGTCCTCTGGCACCACCGTCTAGGTCACCCGTCGTTCCCACGTCTCAGTAGGATGGCACGTCACCGTCTGGTCTCAGGTCTCCCACAGTCGCCTGTCCCGCTTCCTAACTCGCCTGCACCGCCGTGCACTCCTTGCGTCGAGGGTCAGCAGCGTGCTGCCCTGCGGAGAATTGCTCTACAACGGTAGTGAGCTAGACTACGGGGTTGGCACGAACAACTATGAGTGATCGTAGCTTTGCCTAGTTTCTTAGTGCTTGCACAATCACGGGAGAAATTGGCAAGAGTTTCCACTAGCAAAATTGGAATTCTAGAATTGTTGAACAAGCAATGACAACAATGACTACATCAGGCACCTAGCAACTCTGCAGTTAGCCTGGTTGACAGACAGCACAGCATGGTCGACCGCCTGCCAGCGTTGCGTAGAGGAGCCAGCACTGTAGAAAGGCGACCTGCCAACACAGCAAGTCGACGGTGTGCCAACGCTGGAGAAGAGCGGCTGTCCAGCATTGCCCCGTAGTAGACACCAGTGCGCACGCTCGCAGATGCGCGCAGACGATTGGCCCGACTTGCACCGTTGTGCATCCGTCGGCTGTTGTCTGCGCCTGACGAGCCACATCGACTTCGGGATACCACCCCGAAGTTGCCTTCGCCATCGCAACCTCGACGACGTTTGCGTGCCTCCGCAGAACTCGCCGAGCAGGTTACCCGGTCGACCTGGACAACCCCATGTGCTCTGGTCGACCACCAAGTCTTTCTGGTCGACCACCAGGTGCCCCTGGTCGACCACAGCTCCCGTCGAGCTACCCCTTGGTCGACGGACCCCTTCTATCGACCAGAACTGTCAACTGTTGTCGACGAGCTCCCCTCGTCGACCGCTGCTCACTTCTCAGGTCGACGGACTGCTCCGTCGACCTCCCGGTCGAACAGCCCCTCCTGGTCGACGGCCCACCCGTCGCCCAGACCAGTCAGTTGCAGCTGTCGAGCTCCCTGGTCGACAGCAACACCATAGCGGTCCCCTGCAGCTCGACGAAGCCTGTCGAGCAGCTCTCCAACTGTGAAAGGTCGGCTGCTACTCCCGTACATCCGACCAAGTCGTCGGCGTTGCCCAAGCGAGGGCGGGGCCAACACTCCACTCCCGTTAACACTCCCCAGCCGCGCTCACGCTTGGGCCCCCAGCCCACACGTCGACGCTGGGAATCCGACCATCCTGCGTGTCGACAACAAGTCGGCAATTACGGTCACTGCGGGCTTGGGGCTGACGGGCAACCTCAAGCACATGGAGCGACGCTATGCCTGGCTGCAAGCACATGGTGAGGCGCGGGAAGTTCGTACTGAAGTACATCCCGACTATCGAGCAGCCATGAGACTTCCTTACGAAGGCGCTGCATTTTCCGGCTTTCAACCGGTGCTCTGTCGCCATCGGCCAAGTTCGTCTGGCCGACGTCAGCGACGGCGACGATGATGTGCAGCAGTAGGTGCCGTGCCCTTCTGCACGGCTGGTGCGGTGTCGGCGTGCTGTGTGAGGGGTGCACGCCGAGGACGAGTTTTCTCCGTAGAGGCAGAGAGAGGTGGAGAGGGGCAGAAAGAGGTGGAGAGAGGCAGAAAGAGGTGGAGAGAGGCAGAAAGAGGTAGAGAGGGAGAAAGAGGTGGAGAGAGGCAGAAAGAGGTAGAGAGAGGCAGAAAGAGGTGGAGAGAGGCAGAAGGAGGTAGAGAGAGGCAGAAAGAGGTGGAGAGGGGCGGAGAGAGGCGCGAAGAGAGGCAGAGGCAGTAGCAGAGACAGAGGGCTGCACAGAGTGGGTGCAATGAACTTTGTGCGTGTGTTGGGCCTGGCATGGCATGGCATGACATGGCATGGCGACGCACACAGAACTTTCAATGCTTCAGTCTTTGGTACGGCATAACATGAGCAGATAAGAAGTGTTCAAACGCTTCAGTGCTTGGCATGCCATGCCTTACACACGTGCTACAGCATGCACTCAACCTGATGCCACCTGATGCAACCTGATGCGACAAAATGCAAAACACATCATCTGCAGCAGTCAAGTCTAGAGGCGCCTCAAGAAACTGCAAAACACCATCCGCAGTCATCCACTATCATTTTGAGTCGCCTTCAATTTCTGGGGATGGGTTGCCTCAAGCCATTTCCTCAATAGCCATTTCCTCAATAGCCATTTCCTCAATAGCCATTTCCTCAATAGCCATTTCCTCAATAGCCATTTCCTCAATAGCCATTTCCTCAATAGTTGCTTCCTCAAAAGGCATTCCCTCTTAACGAAACCATCTCAGAAACCCACTCACCATCTGCAGCTCCTCGTCGCCGTCACCGGCACCAACCGCTCCCAACTCCTCCTCCATCCCCCCCCACCGCTTACTCCCCCACTGCTTTTTCTTCTCTGCACCGCGTTTCCCCGGCTTCCGTCCTCTCCTCCTCCCACTGCCACCACCACCCCCACCACCACCACCGCCTACACCCTCCATCTCCTCATCTTCCCCCTCCTCCTCCCCCTCATCCCTCCCATCATCATCTGCAATCTCATCAGGGATATACTCGCTGAATTTCCCCAACTCCTCCTCCTTCCTCCCCCTCTTCATCTCCCTCCTCATCTCCCTCCCCCTCCTCTTCATCGTCGCTGCTGCTGCTGCGCGGTGCGACTGCCGGCAGCAGCGCTGATGCTGGCGGTCGACTTGAGCGCCGCGTTTCTCGCCATACGATCTGCTCTTAGCCGCTCGGTAGGCCGTCATGCCTTCCGCACACCCTCGCCCAGCCGCATCCCCCCTCAGTGTCCGCATTGGCGTCCACGTCAGCATCTGTAACACCTCGCTACCCACTGGGTCAAAACGAGGGTGTTATTTGGCGCTGCGGAGTGCCCTTAACACAGCCCACAGGCGTTACACTCGTCCCCCCCTGGTGCCAACGTCCCTGTTGGCCCTGGACTTCAGGAAGTCGGCCCCCTGCCGCTGGGACCTAGATTTCGCAGTGCTGCTGGCTGCGACTTCGCTGGTTGCTCAGGCCAGCGGAGGATCGTTCGCTGGGTTCGAGCTGGTTACAACCGCACTTCAGTTCTCGCCAAAGGCGGAAAGTGTGGTCCAGCCGGGATTCGAACCCTAGGCTCTGATTCCAAATGTAACACCTCGCTACCCACTGGGTCAAAACGAGGGTGTTATTTGGCGCAGCGGAGTGCCCTTAACACAGCCCACAGGCGTTACAGCATCCGTACTGGCGTCCACGTCAGCGTCACCGTCAGCGTCCCTATCCGTGACATCCTTGTCAGCGTCCCTAAACCCTCATACCACGCGTGAATCGCGGTAGGTAGGCGACCACTAGCGACAACGACAGCCGAAGATAGCTAACAGCCAGTCTCAACGCGGGAAGGGAGCGTGACGGTGACGCGTCAATAAGGGAATTTAGGGTTGAGCTGAGGTTGACGATTTACAGAATGAGGGAGTGTTTTTGTATTGATCTGAGCTTCAGAGTCACCCTTGCAAAGCTCGCATGCTGCTGATCTGAATTCTTGCACTTTTGTGTCATTCCCACAACCTCGGATATGTTTTTCTCTCTGGTTTGGTTTGGACCGCGAGAAACCATAACCAACCGTGCGTTTCCCATCAAGTATGAGGTTCGCATCTGTACAAAATTCGAGGCGCCATCAGATCCGCCTAATCAGCCGACTGACACCAAGTTCCAGCGTAGAACAACACCGAATGAGCCCCACAGGACCCCACCTCGATTATAGCTTTCAACTCAAGCACAGAATATTCGGGAATGATTCCAGCAGCAATCAGCAGCGAACCCATGAATTCCCGCCAAAATCAGATTCCAGGTTCCCAGAAGGAGAACACACCGAAATCTCCTCGCGCGAATCTCCGAGTCGCGTTGGAACAGTGGCGAGATGGCTCGAAGGGCTACTGCTAAGCTACCTGATGTTGCCACGTCACCCTATTCACCGTCAGCGTCACTCGTCCTGTCCACGTCAGTGCTTGCGCTAAGCATAGTAATTGGAGCGTGGCTGCTGCCACGTCAGCTCTGGGGAGTAGATTTGACGAGTGAGCCGCTGACGTGTATCAAGTCCACATGTGTACGTCCACGTGTCTGTCTGTGCAGCATGCATACCATCATCATGGCTTTACGCTTCTAGTCCTGTTGGTGACTCAAGACCAAGATTGATCGCACGTCATTTCATGCTGTAGCTCGGTCGAATTGACCAACACCTCATTACCTTGTTCCCTACCCATCACCTTTCCACAAGCTTATCTCTCCTCGATCCCTTCCTCCCTCGTTCCCTACCTTTTTTTTTTTACCAATCCTCTCTCCTCCTCTCTCCTCTCCTTTCCTCTCCTCTCCTCCTCTTTCCTCTCCTTGCCTCCTCTCCTCCTAACCTAACAATCCCATGCCACAGGCTCTGTTTCTGCCAGCAGCACTGCTTCTCTTCTCCCTCCCTCCCTTCAGCCTCTCCACATCCGTTCAAATGTCGCCATTGGCCCGCAGAGGCATGCAGGTGATTTCTCGCCGTTTGTCGCCATGTCAGCATGTTACCATGTCAGCAGCTGAATGTGGTACCTCTATTTCAAGCCTCGGTCTTCTCCCTTGCAAATGTCCTGACTCGGATTGTACGTGACTGTGCTATGATGAGTCATGACGTGGCATAACATCGTGTGACGTGGCATCATGTCGTATGACGTGGCTGCTTGTGCCTCCTCCTCTCATACACCCTGGAGGTCAACTCATGCACCGCATTGCTCACATCGCCACTGCCATCTTGCCAACATGCATCGGCAAATAATTATTCCAACCGCTTTCTCTTTCGCCTCTTGTCTTTCTCGTCCCCCTCCTCCTCCTCTCATGCAGCTTGGAGGTCGACTCATGCATTGGATTGCCAACCTCACCACTGCCATACTCCTGACATGCCTCGGTAAATCACTCTTCAATCTTCCTTATACCACTTATACTCCCTGTCCCCTCCTCTTCCTCACATTGATACACACAGGTGCACCAACTCGCATCCATCCCTCGCTTACTCTTCCACCCCTCCCACCCCCCACCCCCTCCGTACCCTCTTTTTACTCTCTTTCTCTCTCACCATTAGGTGCTTTCGCCGCAGCACTTGCAGCCACTGCTTTTGGTGCTCCCACCACCCTCCAGTGAGTCACTATGAGCTTTGAGGCGACTTTGATTTTTTTCTAGTGCGTTCTTTCGGCTAAAAGTGGCCGTCAAGCATGCCTTGACATTGACATAATATGGTGAAGCATGCCTTGTGAATCAAGCATACCCCACTGCAAGCCAGCATACCTCACTTCACCACATTACACCTTCTGTAACCCACAATTCTCCCTACGTTTCCTACCTGCCAGGTCCATCCCAGTGACCCTCCACTGGTCCTCCCTTCTCTCTCTGCTCGCTGTAAGTGCTGCAATCAGCCACGTCAGATTGTTCTCCCGCCACGTCACTTTTCTCTCCCACCAATCACCTGCCATGTCATGTCACTCATCTGTAACTCCCCCCTCCCCCCTGTGACTCTCCCTTTACCCCTCTCAAGTGCTGCCCTCCTCCCCCCTCTGACGCTCCCTTTACTCCTCTTTGCCTTCAACCTCTAATCATTGATAGTCTGTGCACCCCCGCAATCTGTGCTTTTTAGGACATCTGAAACCCCTCGTTGCCTTCAACCCCCATCTTTACTATTCTGCGCACCTGCAATCTGTGATTTTCGATCCTCCATTCCTCCATTCATCATTCCCCCACCTCCCTTCCACCCTTACATGTTCTGCCCTCAGTGCCATGTTCAGCCCTCGGCGCTCCTCTTTTCCTCTCAATCACAATCTCTCAACACGTGCTTTAGTCTGTTACTCTCCACCAGAAATTCATCATCCCCCACCCATCCCGCCCTATGCCCTATGCCCTATGCCCTATGCCCTATGCCCTATGCCATAGGGTGCAATGGGTGCAATATGTCACCACCCCTATGCCCCCTCCGCGTCCTCGTCATCTCCTCCCCTCAGGTGCTGCCCTCCGCTCTCCTCTTTCGTTCCCACACGCACCTCTGGCGATCCGTGCTGCTGCAGTTCAGGTAACACCCGTGGCCCCAAGCCTCTGTATTCTTTTTCCAGATCATTCTATGAGCGAATGAGACGGCCAAGGCTTTTTTAAAAGAAAAAGAGAACAATACTACGTTCCGTACCTCTGCTACTCACCTCTCTCCGTTCCGTACCTCTGCTACTCACTTCTCTCCGTTCCCTCTGCCCGTTCCATATGCCTCATCGCTTCTCCCTTTCCCTCCTCCTCCCCATTACCCTCCTCCCACTCCCCTCCTCCCCCCTCACCTCCTCTTCCTCCCCTCCTCCCCTTCCCCTCCTTCCCCTCCCCTCTTCCCCCTTCCCCTTCTCCCCCTCCCCTCCCTCCCCTCCCCTCTTCCCCCTCCACTCCTCCCCCTCCCCTCCTCCCCCTCGCCTCCTCCCCCTTCGCCTCCTCCCCCTTCCCCTCCTCCTCCCCTCCTCCTCCTCCACTCCTCCCCCTCCCCTCCTCCCCCTCCCCTCCTCCTCCTCCCCTCCTCCACACTCTTCACCCCATCCCTCCCCTTCAGCCCAGCATCACTGTCTGAGGCGTGTGTGGTGACGTCAGCACATGGGGCCATGGTGGGGGCGTGGATAGGGGCATGGCCCATGCCCCTGGACTGGGAAAAGCCATGGCAGGTGAGTTATGGGGGGGATTTAGTCGGGTCAGTTTTGAGTGTTCTAAAGAATGTGCATGGGTGCACGCTGGGGGCATGGGTGGGGGCATGGGTGGGGGCATGGGTGGGGGCATGGCCCATGCCTCTGGACAGGGAAAAGCCATGGCAGGTGGGTTAGAGGGGAGGGGGGCTATGTGCATGGGTGCATGGTGGGGGCGTGGGTAGGGGCATGGCCCATGCCTTTGGACTGGGAAAAGCCATGGCACATGGGTTAACGGGAAAGGAGAATGTGCATGGGTGCATGGGTGCGTGGGTGCATGGGTGCATGGGTGCATGGGTGCATGGGTGCATGGGTGCATGGGTGCATGGGTGCATGGGTGCATGGGTGCGTGGGTGCGTGGGTGCGTGGGTGCGTGGGTGCATGGGTGCATGGGTGCATGGGTGCATGGGTGCATGGGTGCATGGGTGCGTGGGTGCATGGGTGCGTGGGTGCATGGGTGCATGGGTGCGTGGGTGCGTGGGTGCCTGGGTGCGTGGGTGCATGGGTGCATGGGTGCATGGGTGCATGGGTGCATGGGTGCATGGGTGCATGGGTGCATGGGTGCATGGGTGCGTGGGTGCATGGGTGCATGGGTGCATGGGTGCATGGGTGCATGGGTGCATGGGTGCATGGGTGCGTGGGTGCGTGGGTGCGTGGGTGCGTGGGTGCGTGGGTGCATGGGTGCATGGGTGCATGGGTGCATGGGTGCATGGGTGCATGGGTGCGTGGGTGCGTGGGTGCGTGGGTGCATGGGTGCATGGGTGCATGGGTGCATGGGTGCATGGGTGCATGGGTGCATGGATGCATGGGTGCATGGGTGCATGGGTGCATGGGTGCATGGGTGCATGGGTGCATGGGTGCGTGGGTGCGTGGGTGCGTGGGTGCATGGGTGCATGGGTGCATGGGTGCATGGGTGCGTGGGTGCGTGGGTGCCTGGGTGCGTGGGTGCATGGGTGCATGGGTGCATGGGTGCATGGGTGCATGGGTGCATGGGTGCATGGGTGCATGGGTGCATGGGTGCATGGGTGCATGGGTGCATGGGTGCATGGGTGCATGGGTGCATGGGTGCGTGGGTGCATGGGTGCGTGGGTGCATGGGTGCATGGGTGCATGGGTGCATGGGTGCATGGGTGCATGGGTGCGTGGGTGCGTGGGTGCGTGGGTGCGTGGGTGCATGGGTGCATGGGTGCATGGGTGCATGGGTGCATGGGTGCATGGGTGCGTGGGTGCCTGGGTGCGTGGGTGCATGGGTGCATGGGTGCGTGGGTGCGTGGGTGCCTGGGTGCGTGGGTGCATGGGTGCATGGGTGCATGGGTGCATGGGTGCATGGGTGCATGGGTGCATGGGTGCATGGGTGCATGGGTGCATGGGTGCATGGGTGCATGGGTGCGTGGGTGCATGGGTGCATGGGTGCATGGGTGCATGGGTGCATGGGTGCATGGGTGCGTGGGTGCGTGGGTGCATGGGTGCGTGGGTGCATGGGTGCATGGGTGCATGGGTGCATGGGTGCATGGGTGCATGGGTGCGTGGGTGCGTGGGTGCGTGGGTGCGTGGGTGCATGGGTGCATGGGTGCATGGGTGCATGGGTGCATGGGTGCATGGGTGCATGGGTGCATGGGTGCATGGGTGCATGGGTGCATGGGTGCATGGGTGCATGGGTGCGTGGGTGCGTGGGTGCATGGGTGCATGGGTGCATGGGTGCATGGGTGCATGGGTGCATGGGTGCATGGGTGGTGCATGGGTGCGTGGGTGCATGGGTGCGTGGGTGCATGGGTGCGTGGGTGCATGGGTGCATGGGTGCATGGGTGCATGGGTGCGTGGGTGCGTGGGTGCGTGGGTGCCTGGGTGCGTGGGTGCATGGGTGCATGGGTGCATGGGTGCATGGGTGCATGGGTGCATGGGTGCATGGGTGCATGGGTGCATGGGTGCATGGGTGCATGGGTGCATGGGTGCATGGGTGCATGGGTGCATGGGTGCATGGGTGCATGGGTGCATGGGTGCATGGGTGCATGGGTGCATGGGTGCATGGGTGCATGGGTGCATGGGTGCATGGGTGCATGGGTGCATGGGTGCATGGGTGCATGGGTGCATGGGTGCATGGGTGCATGGGTGCATGGGTGCATGGGTGCATGGGTGCATGGGTGCATGGGTGCATGGGTGCATGGGTGCATGGGTGCATGGGTGCATGGGTGCATGGGTGCATGGGTGCGGGTGCGTGGGTGCGTGGGTGCGTGGGTGCGTGGGTGCGTGGGTGCGTGGGTGCGTGGGTGCGTGGGTGCGTGGGTGCATGGGTGCATGGGTGCATGGGTGCATGGGTGCATGGGTGCATGGGTGCATGGGTGCATGGGTGCATGGGTGCATGGGTGCGGGTGCATGGGTGCGGGTGCGTGGGTGCGTGGGTGCGTGGGTGCGTGGGTGCGTGGGTGCGTGGGTGCGTGGGTGCGTGGGTGCGTGGGTGCATGGGTGCATGGGTGCATGGGTGCATGGGTGCATGGGTGCATGGGTGCATGGGTGCATGGGTGCGTGGGTGCGTGGGTGCGTGGGTGCGTGGGTGCGTGGGTGCGTGGGTGCGTGGGTGCGTGGGTGCGTGGGTGCGTGGGTGCGTGGGTGCCTGGGTGCATGGGTGCATGGGTGCATGGGTGCATGGGTGCATGGATGCATGCATGGGTGCATGGGTGCATGCATGGGTGCATGGGTGCATGGGTGCATGCATGGGTGCATGGGTGCATGGGTGCATGGGTGCATGGGTGCATGGGTGCATGGGTGCATGGGTGCATGGGTGCGTGGGTGCGTGGGTGCCTGGGTGCGTGGGTGCGTGGGTGCGTGGGTGCGTGGGTGCGTGGGTGCGTGGGTGCGTGGGTGCATGGGTGCATGGGTGCATGGGTGCATGGGTGCATGGGTGCATGGGTGCATGGGTGCATGGGTGCAAGGGTTGCATGGGTGCATGCATGGATGCATGCATGGGTGCATGGGTGCATGGGTGCATGGGTGCATGGGTGCATGGGTGCATGGGTGCATGGGTGCATGGGTGCATGGATGCATGCATGGGTGCATGGGTGCATGGGTGCATGGGTGCATGGGTGCATGGGTGCATGGGTGCATGGGTGCATGGGTGCATGGGTGCATGGGTGCATGGGTGCATGGGTGCATGGGTGCATGGATGCATGCATGGGTGCATGGGTGCATGCATGGGTGCATGGGTGCATGGGTGCATGGGTGCATGGGTGCATGGGTGCATGGGTGCATGGGTGCATGGGTGCATGGGTGCATGGGTGCATGGGTGCATGGGTGCATGGGTGCATGGAAGCATGGGTGCATGGAAGCATGGGTGCATGGGTGCATGGGTGCATGGTGCATGGGTGCATGGGTGCATGGGTGCATGGATGCATGCATGGGTGCATGGGTGCATGGGTGCATGGGTGCATGGGTGCATGGGTGCATGAATGCATGCATGGGTGCATGGGTGCATGGGTGCATGGGTGCATGGGTGCATGGGTGCATGGGTGCATGGGTGCATGGGTGCATGGGTGCATGGGTGCATGGGTGCATGGGTGCATGGGTGCATGGGTGCATGGGTGCATGGGTGCATGGGTGCATGGGTGCATGGGTGCATGGGTGCATGGGTGCATGGGTGCGGGTGCATGGGTGCGGGTGCGTGGGTGCGTGGTGCGTGGGTGCGTGGGTGCGTGGGTGCGTGGGTGCGTGGGTGCATGGGTTGCATGGGTGCATGGGTGCATGGGTGCATGGGTGCATGGGTGCATGGGTGCATGGGTGCATGGGTGCATGGGTGCATGGGTGCATGGGTGCATGGGTGCATGGGTGCATGGGTGCATGGGTGCATGGGTGCATGGGTGCATGGGTGCATGGGTGCGGGTGCATGGGTGCGGGTGCGTGGGTGCGTGGGTGCGTGGGTGCGTGGGTGCGTGGGTGCGTGGGTGCGTGGGTGCGTGGGTGCGTGGGTGCATGGGTGCATGGGTGCATGGGTGCATGGGTGCATGGGTGCATGGGTGCATGGGTGCATGGGTGCATGGGTGCATGGGTGCATGGGTGCGTGGGTGCGGTGCGTGGGTGCATGGGTGCGTGGGTGCGTGGGTGCGTGGGTGCGTGGGTGCGTGGGTGCATGGGTGCGTGGGTGCATGGGTGCATGGGTGCATGGGTGCATGGGTGCATGGGTGCATGGGTGCATGGGTGCATGGGTGCATGGGTGCATGGGTGCATGGGTGCATGGGTGCATGGGTGCGTGGGTGCATGGGTGCGTGGGTGCATGGGTGCGTGGGTGCGTGGGTACATGGGTGCGTGGGTGCGTGGGTGCGTGGGTGCGTGGGTGCGTGGGTGCGTGGGTGCGTGGGTGCGTGGGTGCATGGGTGCGTGGGTGCATGGGTGCATGGGTGCATGGGTGCATGGGTGCATGGGTGCATGGGTGCATGGGTGCATGGGTGCATGGGTGCATGGGTGCATGGGTGCATGGGTGCATGGGTGCATGGGTGCATGGGTGCATGGGTGCATGGGTGCATGGGTGCATGGGTGCATGGGTGCATGGGTGCATGGGTGCATGGGTGCATGGGTGCATGGGTGCATGGGTGCATGGGTGCATGGGTGCATGGGTGCATGGGTGCATGGGTGCATGGGTGCATGGGTGCATGGGTGCATGGGTGCATGGTGCATGCATGGGTGCATGGGTGCATGGGTGCATGGGTGCATGGGTGCATGGGTGCATGGGTGCATGGGTGCATGGGTGCATGGGTGCATGGGTGCGTGGGTGCGTGGGTGCATGGGTGCATGGGTGCGTGGGTGCATGGGTGCATGGATGCATGGGTGCATGGGTGCATGGGTGCATGGGTGCATGGGTGCATGGGTGCATGGGTGCATGGGTGCATGGGTGCATGCATGGATGCATGCATGGGTGCATGGGTGCATGGGTGCATGGGTGCATGGGTGCATGGGTGCATGGGTGCATGGGTGCATGGGTGCATGGGTGCATGGGTGCATGGGTGCATGGGTGCATGGGTGCATGGATGCATGCATGGGTGCATGGGTGCATGGGTGCATGGGTGCATGGGTGCATGGGTGCATGGGTGCATGGGTGCATGGGTGCATGGGTGCATGGGTGCATGGGTGCATGGGTGCATGGGTGCATGG